TTTTTTACTTTTGTAAGAAATAAATAAAATAATGTAGCTCGAATTCCGTGGCCCGAATTCGGCTCGAGACCCAAAACTAGGGGTGTGCGCGGTGTGGGTCGGTGCGGTTTGAGAGAAAAATAGAAACCGTATGACGGGTGGCGGATTGATAAAAGTGTCACTAGAATTTGCTATTTTCCTTATCGAAAACCGGCGGTTCGGTTGGCAAATAATGGCGGATTTGCCTTGGCGGTTCGGGCGGATTGGCGGTTTATAAAAAATATAATTCAAATTACAAAACTTAAATCAAAGAGTAAAAAAAAGACGAGAGATATCGTAATGTTAAGCATCTTGTGAAGCTTTCTTCTGATGCAGCAAGTGTAGCAACAACATGATAATATCAACGACTATGCCATCAGTTCATTACAAGTATCTGTGGAAGCTGCAATGATCAAATACAATACATAAAATTCCCCTCGAGCAGTAATGTAATACTATATTCTAAGGTATAGAACAACAAGCAAACTTAAGTAAAAAAGAATTTTTAGAATCCTATAAAACATGATTTAATAGCGGTGCGGGTCGGTGCGGTTTGGAAGAAAAATAGAAACCGGCGGATTGATAAAAGTGTCACTAGAATTTGCCATTTTTCTTACCAAAAACCGGCGGTTCGATTGACAAATAATAACGAATTTGCTTTGGCGGTGCGGTTCGGTGCGGTTTTGGCGATTTCGGCGATTTCGGCGGTATTATGCACACCCCTAGTGGTAGGATCGTTCGGGGATTCTTAATGATCGTATCATAAAATGAGATTGAATTGAAAATAATAAAATTTTATTTTTAGTATAAGATAAAGTATAAAATTATTAAAAAATAATAATAAATTTGATACACTATTTTAACATAAATTGTTATATAGTGTTCACTAATAAAAATACTATTGTAACAAATATTGATTTTGTAGGATAATCAAGTTATCAGTTCTCCGTTCAAAACAATTTTATTCAAATAATAAAATGAATTCAGTAATTTTAATTTTAGATCAAAACAAAATTTTTAAATTTTTTCTCAAAATATTTTAATTCTAATAATTTTAAGAAACCTTATTCTATAAATAAATAGAAGCTTTTGCATTGCATTCTCTTCAAGTTCCCAAATAATTTTTTTTATAAGAGAAGACACTTGAAGAGGGAGTTTTTGCTCAAAATTTTAAAAATATAGAAAAAAATAAATAAATAAGAAGAAGAAAAAAGTTGGTAAAATCCAAATTGTAGTAGGATCCGTATTGCAATCCTACACAATTTTGTAATTAAAATCATTGCCACTCTAAAATCTTATAAAATTTTAAATTCTGATGCTAATTAGATCATTGCGCCAAATGAGGCTCTTCTAGGAGTAGTTTTATGGTTAATATAACTCACAAAATAAACTAATTTACTGACTTAAAATAAAAATAAAAAAATTGCTAAATAATTCTAATAGTTATACAAAATTATAATATTTTAAGTTGATAAACTAATTTATCAATCGTTGCCAAAACTTTTTTTCTATTATTGTGATAATAGAAATGCTATGTGTTATGAAAAGATATTTCAAAATTTATCTCCAAATGAGTTTTAAGTGTAAATTTAAAATGGGAAATTTTTTTAATATTAAGATTTTATAAGATAAAACATGTACAATATTTTTATAGTATTTGGGGTTATAAATATTTTTATAGAGAAAATTTAACATAGATAATTTTTTTTCCAACACTAGAAAATTTCAATTTTTATAGAGAAATTTATCTAATATGATCACAGAGAAATCTCAAAATTTCTCTAATATGATTATAGAGAAATTTCATCGAGAACCTTAGCTAATAAAAAAAATATATATTACACATTTCCTACTACCCAAAGTTGAATAGAGATATTTTACAAATTTTTTCATTCAAAATTGGTGTGACGTGGATCCATTCAAAATTATTGTGATCAATAAATATTTTTTGAATAATTTTTATAAATTTGTAATATTCCTCTTTAGAAATTAAAATTAAAAGGGGAAATTACCATTAAATGGTAATCTATTTAAATTATTACACATTAATGAAAAAAATTATAATTATAATTATTAATATTTATTATTTTTTTTATATTTAATTTTCTTAAACTTCACTAACAAGTTATTTACACAACACGATCTTTTTTGAATTACATCATATTTTTTATATTTCTTTTGCATTCTTTTTTATATATAAAAAAAAAATCATCTTTTAGTTTATTTCTCAAAATAGGCTTAAAAAAAGATTGATAGTGTTACATACACTAATTGGTATAACAATTAGTATATCAATATATAGGGGTGTTTGGGAGGAATTTTTTTTGGCTAAAATAGCATTAAAAAATAAAATAGGTTAAAATAACTAATAAAATAAAATATCACATCAAACTAGGTGTGTCGCGCGGGTCGGCTGCGGCTACGAAATCTCAAATCCGCCATCCTTCTGCCAATCCAACGGATGTGGATTGAGCGGATTGGCGGTTTGACGGATGGATGCGAATCTGTTTGGCGGTTTAAAATTTTATAAATTTTCAACATAATTCAACTTGTACACTTCCTCAAAAAAGAAGAAGAAAGTATTACAGTTAATGACTTAAAAAAATATTACAATCACTGCATGCCTTACCCAAAGTAAGAAAGTTTAAAACTTTAGAATATCACAATCACTGCATGCCTCATCTACATACTACAATCACAGCATGTCTCATCCACATAAAGTATTACAATCTGTGGTTCTTAAAATATAAAAACAATTCAAACCACCAAAACCATGAACATAGTAGCAGTAGAAATTGTATGTCTCTGTATTGTTACATCTATATTTGTTTTTTAAAACAAAAATAAACCAGCATATATCATATTTTCTATTTATTATTTTTAGAGATAGATTTAAAAACTAAAAAATATATATAAATAATACGTTTATTTTTTTCAATTCAAAAAAGATATTCAAGTTGAAAACTTTTTTTCAACAGAGTATTTAAACTCTTTTTTAATTAAAAGCACAAACAGAATATTTAAACAAACTAAAAACACAAAGTCTTATAAATTACTAGGGGTATTTGCTGTTTGGCGGTTCGGTTGCGGTCAAAGGAATTTCAAATTCGTCATCCGTCCGTCAGATTGGCAGATTGGAGAAAATCAATCTGCAACCATCCGCTCGTCATCACGCATCCGTCCAAAATGTGGCGGATCGGATCGGATCGGTCAGTTTTGACAGATCGGTATATCCGCTGTCACCCCTACATCAAACTCATAATGATTTTATTTTTTTTCTCACAAACATCACATCTAACTATAAAAAAAATTAATTATTTTTCAAAACACAAAAATTTAACCTTCTAAAATAGTAATTTTTCAAACACCTGATATGATCACTTTAAAATTATAACTCTACTTATTATATAAATTATAAATATTTAAAATTTTTAAAATTACGTCACATTACCTATTTTTACATTAATTAGTATATTTATATTTATCCAAAATCAATACGTAACGTTAATTTAAAAAGGGGAACTTACTGATAAGTCCCATGTACCAAGTTCAAAACCCAGCTAATCCCAAAACAAAATACTTGCACCAATTAGTCTAATACATTTTTAATTGTTATCAAAAAATCATTTTTTTTATTTTTTTAATTTACAGACACTGTTCACATTTTACTACCATAGGACTTCCGTCAAACGGTCGCCGGAGACTCGTCGGAATGTTCAACATCACCGGGAAGTCGCCGGAGTATCACCGGGAAGTCGCTGGAGTTTCGCTGGAAGTTCGCCGGAGTGTTAAGAACGTTAATGGAAGTCGCCGGAATGTTCAGAACGTTCACTGGATGTTAAGAACATTACTGGAGGCTCACCAGAATGTCTAGAATATTACGGAAAAAAAAAAAGAATAAATGGATAAATTATAGCAAAAAAAATATAGCAAAATGTGCTAAATATTGATAAACTAAAAGGAAAAAAAATGAAACGACAAAAAATAGCAACAATGGGAAAAACATATGTTATTTTTCAATTTTTGTAAGGTTCAAGCAAATAATCTCTAAATAGTGATCAAACTGAAAAGTAAGTTTTGAAACTATAAAATGTTATAGTTTCAAAAAAAAAATCTATTAAGCATTTATCCTTATTAATCAAACTGAAAAACATGTTATGAAACTGTAAAATTTTACAGTTTTATACCATGATTCATTCTAGCACAAAAAAAATTTGAAATTGCAAAATTTTACAGTTTTCACTGCCTGTAACTAAAACTCGAAAACTACTTGTTCAGAATTTGAAAATTTTCTCCATTAGAATAGAAAATCAGAAGTGTATAGCAGAGAAAAAAAAAAAAGAGATCGAAGGAGAAAGGCGCATGTAGAGAGAGGATTGTACTCCGACAACTATTTTTTGTTTAGATCTAGCCAAATCTGATGTAGTTCTACTCAGATCTGATGTAGATTTGAGTAGATCTACATCAAATCTAAGTACATCCACTCATCTTCTTCGTCGGAAATATATTGTCTTCGTCGTCGGTGAGAGTGAAGTCACGAGTTGATTTCGATGGTTGGCGGTTATCAGTGAACCCCGATCAATGGAGAAAGACATGATCACCGGTCGTCGTCCATGACAAAGACGATAAGAGAAAAATACAGAAAAAAAACGAGAGAGGAAGGAAAGCAAAAAATAAAGAGAGAGAGGAAATGACTTTTGGGTGTACTAAAAAAGTTATGGGATTAAATGGTGTCACATGTTACACATGGGACCTGTGGGTAATTTCCCCAAAAATAATTAACTTTGACAAATGTTAGAGGTCATGAAAATTTTGTCATGAAAAGGATCATAAAAAATTTATGACCTTTAAATTATCTTAATTAATGTGTGGTGCTTTATTATAAGTGTAATTCAAAAATCACAAATCTTTCATAACTATTTTGATGAATTACTTTTCATGATACCTAGCATTGGTGATTAACTTTGGCCATTGGCGAAGAGTTTCAGAAATCGGCCCAAGCAAAACACCATCTTCTAAAATTAGACACGCACCCTGTACTCAGCTGCTGCCATTTGACCTGCCGGCTGCTCAAATGGCTTCTTCTTCATCAATCAACACTTTCTCATTCAACTCCCAACCAGACCTTCACAATCCCAAACCCCTAAAACACACTACTATGTTCAACAGACCATATAACCCAAGACACACACCCAAACCACTCTCTCTCTTCTCCAACCTCCAACCCATATCCCGCCTTCACATGTCTCTCAAAACTCATCATCATCTCCCCAATTTTTACTCTCAACTTCCCATTCTTCCAAAACCCACTTCAATTCTTTCACCCCTCAAAATATTTTCCACTTTTTATACTGAAAAGATTGCAGTTTTGCTTGTTGGGTCATTTGTTTTCTTGGGTTGTCTTTGTACTAGGCCAGTTGTTGCACTGCCTGCCCAGCAGCAGAGCAGTAACAGTGAAAATGTGGAAGAAGAGAGAGAGACCCAGAATGGTAAGAGTGATGATGAAGAAATGTATGCCAAGTTATTGGAGGAGAATCCTAGAAATGTTGAAGCATTGAAGGTGGTTTTGTATGAAAATATGAGGAAAGGGAAGACTAAGGAGGCTGTGGAGTATGTGGAGAGGTTGATTGAAGCCCAACCGGGCGAAGTTGAGTGGCGGCTTTTGCAGGCTCTTTGTTATGAGATGATGGGGCAATTCAGCAAGGCTAAGAGGTTGTTCAAGGAAATATTAGCCAAAAGGCCTCTCTTACTTAGAGCTTTACATGTATGGTTCTTGAGCCCTACCTTTTTTCTTTACCCAGTTCATTTTTTTGTAACATGTTTGTATTGGATATATAAACTTCATGCTTCATCCATCATGCTTAGGCGGGGTTGTTTGAAATGGTAGTCAGATGACTACATGTAGACAAATTTTCTTAACCTCAAAACTGAATGTAAAGAGGAAGAGTTGTGCTACATCCCCCCATTGAATGTAAAGAAGAAAGTCGATTGGTTGGTATTATTTGCCACCTCATTAGAGGCGCAAATGGGGGTGATGAAATGGGGAATGGGGCATTTCTCAAAGAGGAAAATGCCAATGACTGGTCATTAGTCTCGATCTATGTGTAGAAAATGTATAAAAATGTGTGAAAAAAGTATAAAAACATGTAAATTTTTTTGAGAACATACCAAAAGTGCATAGTGATTGTAATTATTTTTGCATTTATCTACCTTAAAAGGCAGTACTGTACTATGGGCTGTCTCTAATCACGACCCCCCATGAAAAGGGTTAACAAGTCAAATTATAGTTGGATGAGTGCACATGAATATATATATTTGTTTTTATCAATGTTTAACCATAAGCATCAATTCCTTCATGTATGCTAGTGAAATATTGTAGTTGGTGTTGTCTTTAACTTGCATATTTACCGACAGACCATCAGATACTACCTAAGAAAGTTTTTGTTTTGAGATTTGGTGTTGGACCTGTTGGTGTTCATATTTTATTTTTTTTAATCCTTTTGACTTCAAGACGTCAATTCATTCAATCAACTTGTTGAAGCTCCACTTATAGCTTGGCATTTTCATGATCATGCACCTTTATTTGTTTATTTATTTTTTATAAGTAATCTGTGCAAAATAGACAAGTCATGGAGTCTCTGGAATTGCACTCTAGTGTAATGTGATTTTGATGTAGGAAGTGTACATAACAGTGTATCTGCATGCAATAAGGGTGCTTGCATGGCATTGCAAGCCTTTGTTCTGATCCTTTGGAGAAAGAATGTAATTAGGTCAATATTTAGGTTAAAGACTATTTATACATTTTAACCAATCCCTGTTTATGTATAGTCCAACATTAACTAATATGCATACATAGGAGTTGTGTAAATTCATTTTATTATAGATAAATTTTGTCTCTTATTTCCTGATTGAGAGCTAGTATGTGGGGAAAAAAAATCTTTTGATTAAATTGTGACATTGGACTTAGAGGAAAAAATCAAAGGTCAAGGTTCTGAAAATAGTTTGCGTGTATGGACTGAAACTGAGCAATTGAGTTGGAACTTAAATTGGTTAGTAGTATAACTGGTTATGATGTCTCATCTATATTTTGAAACATTAGGGAACTGTTAATGGATTAAAAGGAGATGAGGAATTTAGTTTGCTAACAGCTTTCTCAAATCTGGTGCTGGAATGCTGCAATTTTGGCCAATTGAAATAATAATATTATAAAACCTGGATAGCATTCTGAGGAACCATAGTGATTATCTATTTTAATTCTCAGTGGTGTGTTTGGTTGAAGAGAAAAAAGGGAAGATAAGGGAGAGATTCAAAAAGTTTTTATTTTCTTTTGTTTGGCCCCCCCCCCCCGCCCCGCTCTCTGTCTCTTTGGTAAAAATCTTCATTACACAAGCAACTTTGGAGGAAAATTTAAATTTAGATTAAAGTTCAACAAATAATGCTAAGAGTCAATAAACTACATTTTTTTTCTTTTACTTTCTGTCCCACTTTCTTCTCTACCAAACAAGGGGAAATGATTGGTTATTTTGTCCCCTCTTTCCTTCCCTTTTCCTCTCCTTTTATTTTCTCTTATGAGTCTTGTCTTCTTTTCTCTCCTACCAATGATAGCATGTAATTTTAAACACTGATGTCCTGCTATTGTATGGTCCTAGGCGATGCATGCCAAACTCTAATTGCTTTTGAAGCTGAAGTTGTCCTTGAATTTGGCACCAAATACACATTAGTTGATATCTAGCGCCTTATCTGCACCAATTTGGCTTACAAAAAGTTGCATGGATATCCAAATGACCTGCCTATAAGTCGGATTCATTAGTTGTCTTTAATTACTCCTCAAGTTCAATTCCTTTTTTATCTCCTCAATTGCTTTTTTTAGTTCGTTCATATGCCAACCATTCTTCAATTTCATGAATGGAATTAGAACCTTTGATATGGGAATATTTAGATGTGGTGGTAAAATTTGCCGCTGAATAACTAGATATTTGCAGCTGTTGGCTTTTTGAACTTTATTCTGCTCCCTTGACCAATGCCAGATTACTTTGAAAGATAGTTTACTGACTGCATTTGATGAATTAAATGAAATGGCTTTCTGACTGGAATCAACTCTAATATTAATTTTACAATTTCTCTGCAAGGTTTGTCACCATGGTTTTGCTCAAAATGTACTCCAAATTCTTAGAAATAATATAAGTATGCTTTCTGAATTCTGTTTTGATATTCCTTGGAGAAGATTTGAGTGGAGTTACTTCGTTCCTGGCTTTCCCAAGATTTTTCTTTGCACTAGTTGATTAAATTTATATTTATTCATGAATCCTATAAGGCACCTTTCATGGTGTATTCCCCTCCCATTGCCTAGTTTTTAATAATATCCTATGAGCTCAAGTGCAACTTTGACAACACCGCAAAGGTTTTTCAATCATTCAAGATCATTAATCTGATTTCCTAAATTTAAGCAAAATGCAGATATTAAAGCTATTTTGGGTCCTTCTCTTGGGAAACTGCTTATGGAGAATGAAAGTCACCTTTTAGCTATCCTAATTTTTGCAGGGTCTGGCAATGGTGATGCACAAGAATAATGAAGGCTCAGCTGTCTTCGAGATGCTAAATAAGGCTTTAGAAGTTGCTCGTCATGAAAAAAGAGTTACTGAGGAGAGAAACATTAGAATTTTAATTGCACAAATGCATGTTGTAAAGGTGATTCAGGATTGCTCGGAACATCCTTCTTTCTCTCTTTGTCGTTATATAAGAAAAAAGTTTTATAAAAAGGGCATCAAGGGGGTGTTCCCCCAATTACAACAAAGAAAACCCTATAAAAGGGGAACAAAATTGCAAAGCTAAGGTGTCAACAAAATCCAAAAATTGCTCCAAATTTGGAGTAACCCTCCCAATATCCAACTAAACAAAATGGCAACAAAACTGCTCTTAAGCCTATGCAATTGCTCCTCATGATCACAAAAAAAACCTCTTATTACATTCGCTCCAAATCAACCACATAACGTACAGGGGTGTCAAATGTTGTGCCTTTCTCCACCTTTTCCCCTCCCTGCCTTCCCTCCAAGCCTGCAATAAATCCACAACCACTTTGAGAAGTCCATGACATCCCAAACATCAAAATACTTACATCCCATAAACCTTACACATGTAACACCAATTAACTGTATTATGTTGTCTCCTTATAAGGTTGTATATGGTAAGGATCTTTGTGTGAGATGCATTCCCAAACAAAATATTCACCTTGGACCATCCTTCTCATCAAACTCGTTTACTCAAATATGGAATCTATTTACAAATAGTGTAGGGATGTCCCATGGAATTCAATTATTTCAATATGCTTACACTTCATTTGACGACACAAATTCATCCTTTGGAATAGAATCATTATAAATAATACTAGCAATTGGAAGTAGAAGCATAAGATGGAAGGTTAAGAATATTTTTCTTTATTTTTATTTTTTGTGTTGGGAGGGACCTACTTCCATAGTAATCAATTCTTTCTCATTTCTGGTTTTCATAGTTACTACTGTTTGCGTGCTTACAGGGGGAGTTGGAGGAGGGCTTGAAAATTTTTCAAATTCTGGTTGATGAGAATCCTAGGGATTTTCGGCCTTATCTTTGCCAGGTAAGTGATAATGGAAATTAGTTGTTGTTGCGGATTGATATCTGGTTATTTGTGTTTGTTAGTGTTAGTTATTTTTCTTGCTGGTAGTTTAGTTTCCTAACATCATTTCATGATGTATACACATGCTATTTTTGAATGCATCATTTGAATTTTAAATCTTAAACAATGATTTTCAAGGGATCTCAGTTTCCATGCCATGTACTGAACTGTTGCCTCTGAAAGGTTTGTCGATATCCGGTTTTTCTAATTTTCACATGGTTTAGGGGATAACATAGTCCTTGAAGGGTCAAGAATAGATGCTAGGCTTGTAAATGTTGTTTGTTGCCATGGTTTGCCCTGTAGGTATCAGTTCATGTTAATTTGGCCAAAAGATAGGTTCAGTAGTGCCATGTTGTGCAGTCAAAATGGAATAATAAGAATGTCTATTTCTCAATTGTAGAGCAATAGAAAATATAAGAGAAATATTAAGGGAATTTGATAATCTTTTCTTTTATTCTTTTAGTCTCCATACAATGCACATTCTTGTTCACGGGTAACCGATAACTCAACTCAAATCAAGTAAACTTTTTCCCAATTGCATGTACTTTGGATAGATATTGATCTCAAAAAGTTTTAGAGACACATTTGTACTAAAGCTGATATTTTGGCTTATTAGCCTAATAGGAAGTGCCTGTAGAAGTTTGGCTAAGGTCTTGACTGTGAGATTGAAATCAAATTGTTGCCTATATGATGAATGCAATTTTTGCATTGATTAATATCTTAAGACTCAAGACAAAGTAGGAGCCTGTTTTTGGTATGAATATGAGATATTAAAATAGCCGATGATCATGTGTATTGGTGTCTTTAACTTTATGCTATGAAAAGGATGAGCTTTGGGGCTTGAGGATGATGTGTATAAATTACATGCATCCATGGTTACATTTTTGGTCCTTTTGGATTAAGTCTAGCTCGTTTCTTAGCTTCTTCAAGTGGTTAAAGTTTAGGGGATTCACTCTCACTTTTGTTGTTTGTTCTGGTGATGAAGCTTGCAGTATAATGTTATCTAAGATATCGGCGATGAGATTCATGGAGGGATTTTGGGTGTGGTAGGAAGGCAAGGTTGATATTATGCTTTTGTCTTTTTTATGCAATGACACCATTATTTTTATACAGCAAAGGCATACAATTTAAGATACTTGGCTTGTTTGCTTTTTCAATTTTGAGGTGGTTAGGGTCTAAAGTTAATCTTATGAAGAAAAGAGGAGGTTAGGGATGAGTAGCAGTAGGTAGCTGTGGTGATGGGTAATGGTGGGTGGGGATAGATAAGGTAGATAATATGGTGTTTGGTTTTAGGGATAAGTAAAGGATGTAGGGTGTTTGGTTTCAAGGGTGAGAATTGACAAACATTCTTATCAGTCCTATCATCTCTTCCTGCTTCCTCTTTCTCTCTATCTACTAGCCAATCTAAATACCCACTGTAATAGACAACCAGTCACTATAGCCATGGTGGTAGCACAACAATTGACAATAAGTGAAGGCAATATACGTACTACCCAATCTATATACCAACTCAAAGAGTGTCTCTCCCTCTCTGAAACTTAGAATTCAATAACAAATGGGAGGCTCATAGCTAAGATTCATCAGAGTAATCAGTTGCAAAGCTCTTCCAGAGACACACACAAAGCTCAAGTTCATACATATATAGGTGATTAACGTTTGGGTTTGGTGTTGAAATTGGATGAAAATTTTGAATTTAAAATGGTAATTTCAATATAGCAGCATATGTATGTTTATATATATAGTTGTATGTGTATTTTCACCAAATAATGGGGCGGTGAAGGTGTTCAGATGTGTTTTCTGTTAGGGTTGCACAAATCACCTCGATAACCCAAGAACCAAAGCAACCTGACCTCTATGGGTTGGGTTGGGTTGGTTCGGTTTTTCGAGTGTGTAGTTTGGTTTTGGACCTTCAAATCATCAAATTTGGTAGGATTGGGTTGGTTCTTGGGTTAGGCCCTACCTAAATCAACCCGAGACCCAAACATAAATACACATATATAAACCAAACCAAGCCAAACTAAGCTTTAAGTCCCATCAAATGGGATCGGCTAAATGAATCATTCTTCTCCACTCAACTCTATCCAAGGCCATTTTGTTAGTCAAATTAAGGAGATTCATATCTCTATTTACTACACTAACCCACATCAATTTAGGTCTTATCCCTTCCCCTAACATTTCCATCTACCGTCACTGTATCGCATCGTTTCACTACTGCCTCTGTTGGACTCCGTTGTATATGACCAAACCATCTCAATCCATTTTCTTTCAACTTATCTTCTATAGGTATTACTCCTACCTATTCTCGAATGTACTCATTCCTAATTCTGTCTTTTCTAATCTTGCTACACATCCATCTTAGTATCCTCATCTCAGCAATACTCATCTTAAAATTTTATTTATATTGATAGGTCTTCATTTTAAAACTCTTCATTCGTCCAGTACCTCTACTTATTTTGATTTCCAGTTGATTTTATGTTGGCCAATGGGAAATGAATGAAGTACAGGATCTTGAGTTGGACTTCACGGTGCTCATAAAAGGGATGAAGGAAGAACCATCAGAGTGGCTTTTGGAGAAGCTTAAAAGTATGAGGAAACTTGTCAGGTGTCCTTTGACAGTTTCTGAGGAAGATACTTTTGTTCAGCTGGTGCAGAAAATTAAAGCTAAACAGAAGTCTGAATTGGAGAAAGATTGAGAAGTCGAGGCATTGTTATTATTATCCATTTATTTCTCTTCTCGATTGGGGCAATCTTTTGTGTTTTCATCCCCTGATCTGATCTCTCTCTCTCTCTCATCAAAAAATAAAAATAATAATTGTGAAGGATAGGGTATTTGGGGGAATCCTTCCTAGTAATGCTTGGAATACAGTTGATCAAGATGTGATGGTAGTTGATTATCTTTTGCTCTCTAAAGATGGCCTGACCTAGGATTTTAGATTGCACAGGGCCACTTTTGTTTAGGAGGTTAAGGCTGTAGTGAAATTGCATGCTATGTTATGTATTGCCATTGGCCAGTGAGGCGAGGAGGATAAAATGATGTATAGCGTCCAATTCTGGTAAACTGAGGTGAAGTTATTCTACTAATTGTTCTTGGAAAGGTATTTGGTAAGTTTGAGCTCCCTCCAAGGTTGCATTTTGTTTGATCAATAACGCACAGGGAGATTTTGACAATTGGTAACTTAATGAGGGGCTTCTTATTCCCAATTGGTGTTGCATACGTGTACTGTATCGAAGCTTCTGAGATGCTGGACCATCTTAGTTGGGGTATGATGTGTGTTTTCTTATATTGGTGGCTGATTTGCTTGTAGGTAGTGTCATCAGACAAAAGATGAAAGCTTAGTGGCTTCTGTGAACCTTTTGTTTCGTTGGGTGATGGGGCCTTGGTATCCTTCTTGGGAACCCTTTTCTTATTATATAATATATATGTATATAATTTATATGCCTTTTTGTCTCATTTTATTTGTTCTATAATACTTGAATTGCACCTTTTGTGCATATTTGCTAGAGAAAATAGTATTATTTATCAAAAGAAAATCATGGGAATGTGGACTTGGGAATATGGAAGTTGAGATCAAATGGTGGCTGTGGATTCAACACTCTTTGTTTATGGTTGTTGAAGTTATTCATTTTATTTTAATTTTTTTTTCCAAGTAAAATAAAATATAAAAGAAGCCAGAATCCACTGGTTCAAGTCTTTTTGAGATTCATATACTGGCAACTGGAACATAAAAATTCCAACTGGAACATAAAGGTTGAGGTAAAGGGAAGCAACGGCTGCAATAGATTCCCAATGCATGTTCGTAACCTTTTGAGAAATATTTTTATTAACAATACTCCAAAATTTAAGTAAGAAAAAAGAAAATTATCCAGCATTTTAAAAATTTGAATTGTTAATTTACCATCTCTATTGGAATTTTTGCAGGGAATAATCTACAGTCTACTGGACAAGAAGAAGGAAGCTGATGAACAGTTCCAGATATATCGAAGTCTTGTACCTGAAGAATTCCCACAGAGAGGATTCCTTGATGATGTTGTATTGGCAGCAAAAACAGGGTCTCAGCAGCAGTTTGAGAAGGAGTTTAAAGCCGAATTCTCTTACAAAAACTAAGAGTTTTGCAATACTTTTGTATCTTTCATGCTGAATTATGCTTATCAGCTGAGCTAGTAGATTCTGTTTTAGGATAGATCGTAGAAGGATGAGATGCATTTTTTATTTGAGTATTGTACTTTGATATTTGCTCAAACAAACTTTGTAAATACTGATTGCATAGAATAGGTTTTGGAAAGGCAGTTGTGACCATGTAGAACTTTCTGTCACATAATTGTGGTGTACATAATATGAATTCCACAGTGTGGATAGGATATGGAATTTTGCTGGAATTGATTTTTGAATTGCAGTTCGTTTAGCTGAGCTGAATGCATGCATTTCAACATGTATTTCTTCCATGTTGAAATTCTCATTCAACAAATGGACAGTAGAACTTGTTCTACATGAATGGGGAAAAATAAGAGTATTGAATATGAACTTCATTGTAGCATTGTGAAGTTTTTGCGTGCAAATAGGGTATTTGTCATATGGTATATCTTATTTGAATGTGACTGGTTATATAGTATGACCCGTTACTTCTATGTAAATATTTTATCAATAATGTGAGAGATAACAATTGATGATTAGTGTGAAATAATATGGTGGTAGTTTATGGTCACCTAATTTCTTAAAGAAATATTGCATTAGTGTTTTCAAGGCTCTAGTCTTGTAACAAATCAAATTTTGAATTTTGTTTTTTATTTTCAACTTTAAAATTTTAAAATGATATTGTTGATTTCCATTTATAATCATTAATACATGAAAGATATTTTTGTCAATTTACATATGGTTTGAACAGAAAAGCATGGGAGTTGCTATTAGGACCCCATTTCTTTGGATCCCGGACCTCAAAATTGGTACTCTTTTTTTTTAGCACCCATCATAATTCAATTTCTACCATTTTACCCCCACCATTGCACCCAAGTCCGGTAGCTCCCTCCCACTCCACCTCGACTTCACCTAGCATCCACCATAGAATTAGAGATAATTTTCAAATACTTTTTTTTTTATCAAATTTAAATTTGATGAAAAAAAATATGAAGGATTGAAGATGCTCATGTTAAAAATTAATGGTTCATCCATTGAATTTATTTAGCTCCAATTCGTTCGAATGAGTCTCTTCAGGGAAGAGACTTCCGTGCGCGAGTCTTTTCTCGAAAAGAGACAAATTTAGATTAAACAAAGATTAATATTTGGGAGCACTAAAAAAAGAGCACTAATGATGTGACTCTCCTTTTGAGGTGACGGTTGTTTCTTGTGTTTTTTTTTATTTTTTTTTATTTTTTACATTTTTTAACACATTAAAACTATTAGATGAAATGTTTTAATGGTCGCTGTCAAATTCGGTAGATGTGGCGGTGCTATTGTTAAATCTTGAGATTTTTATGTAATTATTTATTTATTTATTTTTGGTGCTAGAGCAAAGTTGTCAATTTAAATAGGAGCGCAGCTGTCCCAATTGTGTGTGAGGCAGGCAGTCGCCACGATGACACTCCTCCACGCAGCGCAAACACTAGCACCAGCGCCTCTCTTCGATTTTAAAATCGGTTGGCCTCTGAACCGCCGCCGCTTCCTTCATAAGGGGTTTGGCCTCCACCACCACCGCCGCCGCCACAGCGCTGCTCATTTTTCCCGGCGGAGAACCGCTTCCGTGTCGGCGGTTCTGGAGGCGAATGAAGCCAGTTGTTCGGCGACGGACCTGAACTCTCCTCCGGTGAGAATAGTGGCTCTCGTCGGAGATGGTAGCGTCAGCCCTCTGAAATCCGCTACATGGCTCGAAGTCATGGTCCACACAGTAAGTATCGCGGAGCAAAGCAACTCCAATTTCATATTATTGTTGTTGTTGTTGTTTTTCTCAATTTTGATGAGATTTTGTTTCGTTTCGGCTTTGGGTTTTGATTTATTTGACTTCTTGTTGTTAGCTGATGAACCTTTATGTAATGTGGAGATTATTACAGCAAATAGTGCCTAAAAATACTAGTAAAAGTTTGCATTTTAATGGAGCATATTATCTATAAATTATAGTCTTAGATAATATAGATAGTATATATATAAATATGGATAATAATGTTTCTGATTTCATTCAACTTGAGTGGTTCAAATCAAGTTGAACACTGATGATGGCAGAGGATATTGCAAACCTTGTTTATGCCATGGGTCACAATGAATATCAAAGATGTTTGGGGTTGCTTCATTCAGAAATAACAGAGCTTGGTTAAAACATGTTTCAAAAGCTAGCTGGACTAAAACTGTTGGGAGACATGTAAATTTACTTTGCTATCAATATTTGTGTATCACATAACTCATTGAATTTCCAAATTAGGTTAGGGGGGGTGAACCAATACATTCAAAAAGCAAAAGCTAAGGCATTACATATCCATCGGCATGTACGAACCACTTGTAAAATTTACAAAAGAATAAATCAGACAAGAACCAAAAAAATAAAGAGAGGAGTGATCCATTTAAACTGCACAAAAGCATCTCTGTGCCCTCAAAAGACCTCCTTTTGCATTCTCTCCAAACTGTCTGCAAAATAAGTAGAGTTGTCACATCCCAATTCTTCTTATCTGACTTTCTAGAACAACAAGAGCCCCAATATGCATGGAGCTCCCTCACTGAAGATGACATCACTCAATATATGCTAAATACATAATAGCCATAGCTCCCTAGCCCTTAAAGGATATTAGGGAATTATAGAAATCATATAATTTTTTCACCATTGGGTTCACTCATGGATGAGGATTTTGTTTTGCTAATTTTTTGTTCCCCTTGTAATGTAAGATTTTTTGTTTTTTTGGTTTTAGGTGGGGAACAGTAAAAAAGAAGTGTCGGTATAACATGTGCAATGCCTTGGAATAAAGATTTTTGCTGGTGTGTTGGTCAATGTAGATGATTAGATTCAACTTTCTTCTTGTCTTTTATTTTTATTTCTCTCCAGGAGAATTGGAGATTTTCTAGTCGGCATAGCCAGGTCATTTGCTATATTAGCCACGTTGCTTAAAAGGCATTCCCTTAGGTGCCTGTTGCTGCAAATGCCTTAGCTCTGGTTTCCTAAGATTTTAAGGGTAAATTGAAGAAAAAGTTGCTCAAATTCATCTCCAATTAGTTTTCACTTTCGTTTAAATGTTCAAGAAAAGTAAATATTGCCAATCTTCAGATTGTGACTAATGAAAAGGGGCACTGATTTCATGAAACCCACTCACTCACGTGCCAAACATGATCATATTCGTACAAGATGTTATCTAACAACATTCTATAATATTTTTTTTATTCTGCATCATATTATCTATGCCTTTTTTAGGTGGGTGCATTGTAGGGCTTTTCTATGTTCTTGTGTGGTTCCATATCTGGTTGATTGGTGCACAATGGTATATTCATTTTTTCTTTTGTTCCTTTGATGTCATGTAGTTTGCCAAATTGATTGGGGTTTATATGAAAAGCTGCAATATATTTTGTTCTGCCATGACAGAAGCAATATGTCAGTTGTCTTTGAGGCAATATTCACTGAAGAAAAATAAAAAACGTATAATATTTTCTTTTTATTGATAGTAAGGAATGAAAAAGGAGGACAATTTTGGTGCACTTTGTGAGCAAGATCTTGCGTAACTTAGTTCCCCTTCCGACAGCATCCATCAACTCATGTCAATCAAACTAAACCTATTCTAAACTGTTGGCTACATGTATAGTATTTCTCAAGTTACATGGCATTCTACTTGTTTCCTAGGTTCAGCCCACAAACTATTTTTGACATGTTATAAATTTCAATTATTTGTTGGTAGGAAAGTTAAGCTTCATGTGCTAATACTTATTCTCATGCATGGGTTCTAACATATTCATTCACCTCTTCATCTTACAAAATCTTGAAATTTATGCCTTCTTCTAATTTGTATTGCTGGGGTTTTTTTACTATGAAGACCTCAAATTTCACATCTATTTTATTAAATTAAATTAATGATGTAATTTAGCAGTGTTTAGTTTTTTTTTTTTTTCCCCCCCTTCAGTGGAATGGGTATATGAGTTCTACACCTCTTTTTTACTTATTTCTCTGTAAGCAGGCGGAAAGATTGAAATGGGTTGATGAAGCATATGAAATGCTGGTGTTTACTGACAACCTCCTTGAATGTAATAGTCCGACAATTGAAAATTTGAAAAGGGAATTAAGGCATGCAAGTATTTTGGTGATTGTTGCTCTTGCAAACCAAGAATCAGTCAAGTGGGTTCTGACCAACAGCCAAAACATACCAAACATAATCTGCTTTGATTCCTCTCCAACATTAACTAACAAACTTGGAGGATCATTCATTCAAACTGAAACTAAAGGAAACATATTCAGCAAAGTCGCTGAACTTTCTCGACCAAAAAAGGCAGATGAATCAATTGAAGTAGTCCGAACTATATCTGAGGCTTGGGAGAGGCATAATTCTGATGATATAAGGTTCTGTTTGTTAATTATAGTCAATGCTTATATAAGGCCAGTTCCAATCCTGCAGAACCTGAGGGCAAAGGGTTTCTCCACCTTGAACTGTATGGTAAAGAATTGTGGGTCGCAGATACTGAACTGTCTCTTGGATCCTAACTGTAGGAAAGCTCTCCAATGCTTGAATCAGTGCAGTCCAGTAGATCAGGTTTGTAATTATCGATGTATTGCTTCATACGAAAGTCCAAACCTAGAAGAGTTTTCTCTCTGTGTATTGCAGAAGAACAATTGTCTTGAATTGGATGCAAAAATCCCTTCAGAACCTTGCGTGCCTCCAATGGTCAAGTTTCGAGGGGAGGACTTGTGTCATGAAACTGCAGAGGATCTTTTTGTGGGTTGGTTGGGTAGTTTGGAGTGGAGTTGGCGTGTTGTTGCAGGGCAGAACCCAGCTTATGATCACTTTCCATGCCAGTACCAGCTATTTTATAGGGGAAAGGCAAGAGGGTCGTTTTGGTATGAGCCAGTTTTTCAGGTTAGAACACTAGAGGGGAAGTTGGTTTGGAGGAGGCGAAAATATCGAGTCAAGCGAGGCAAAATTCCGGGGACATTTTACTTCAGTGTATTGGATAATGGGGTGGTTTCGAATGAGTTTTGGACAATTGTGGATGTTTCCAATGATCTTAGCTGGGGTTTGTTTCATTACCATGGAGCTGCTAGGGTTGCAGGACAGTCTTACACTGGGGCAGTGCTTGCTAGCCCAAATGGGGAGTACCCAAATGAGAGGGAGAGCCTGAGGTTAGGTTCTGCATTGGACAGATGTGGTATCAAAGAGTGGGAGTTATTTAACGTTGATAATTGCTCGTGTAAAGATCCGCCATTGGGGCTGCCCAAGGGGTCAAGTTTGCATTATAAGATTGAAGTCGAAGATCGAGAATGGTCCCCTGTTTAGGGTTGGTAAATCAGTGGATTAGTCTGATTGTGCACAAAGTTTGGGCAAGTAGAGAGGCGATTTGGGGCGACAGATATGTTGGTCTGAACTATATAGTATGAACAGCTGAATTGTGACGCCAATGTTCGGGTATATCATGTGAAAAGTCTAGTGCCTGGTGTTTTACTAGAGGCTCAACTTTCTGTATTATGAACAACAATTTAGATTTGCTTTCACTGCTGCTGCTGCTGCTGCTGCATTGTCAAAACTTCTTTTACACAACATACAAAAACGAATGTTATGTATTTTAGTAGGACTTTTAAGGCCATGTGGTAAGCGTTAATCATAAATATAATGTGAAATTTATGTACGAGTTGCTGGGTATGGACTGGGAATAATGCAGGATGATAGCTCTGTTGTTAGCAGGTCTAAGAATTTACAGAGGATGAAAGTGAAACATGGTTGCACTCTTGTTTCCTCCCTTGCTTGATTTCATTCACTAAAATCTCTTCATTTGTCGTTTGATTTCAAACTTTTCATTTGCGTATCTTCTTTTGCAAGTAGCTCTAATTTGTAAATAATGGTTAAAGATATCCTATCATAATCATTTATATGATTTGGGTACCATTCATCTTCATCAACCAATATTCTTAATGCAACCAAATTGGGAAATACAATCCATAACAATGTGCGAGTTTGAGCTCTAACAGAGTCTTGACTTATTTTTTTTTCTTTGTTTTTTTCAACTTCAGGATCTGAAGGAATTTTTGGAAAGCTATGTGATGGGTCATTTTTCGCGCTAAAAATAAATTCTTACTAAGATCTTAATTCAATAGAATAGTAAAATATTAAGTTGTTTTATAGTGACAGTAGAGGGAAGTGTTAGGGAAAGGGGCAGATTTAAATTGACGTGAAATGATTTTTGATAGAGTCGAGTGGAGAAGAAAGATTCATGTAACCAGTCTCATTTGATAGGACTTAGGCTTGGATTGGTTTAGTAAAAGACTAAGGCTACGTTTGTTCGGCTCCATAAGATGGAGGGGATCAAGAGTATGGTGTAATTGAAGGAAAAGATTATTAGTGTGGTGGTATTAGGTTAGAGATATATGATAAAGAGTATTTGTTTGTACATCACCGAATTAGTAATACTATAGATAGTATTAATATATAAAATTAATATTTTTAAGTTTTAGTTTTTTTTTAATATTATAATTATGATTTTTATTCTAAAAAATATAATTTTTGCTTAAAAATCATTTAAAATTTCACTAATCCCCTCACTCAATTTCTAATATCAACCCTCCCATGACTTTGTTAGTCCTACCAGATTTTTTTTTTTTTTGGGGGGGGGGATTACTTGCAAGAACCTGAATTTTTGGATAACTAATTAGTTAGATAATAACAATATTAAGTCAATGAATAATGATTATTAAATTATTAAATTATAATAACATCATAACTAATACTAATATTGAACTTTTTAAAATAAATTTATTTATCTTTATGTGATTAAATTTCTGTATCTAAATACAGTTGTGGAAACTAAATGATTTAAACAAATAATAACTAAGTTAGTTAGAGGATAGTAGGAAGCAAAACATCTAGTGACTATGTTATATATATACATTGATTTTCATAATGTAAAAAAAAAAAAAAAACAATCTAAAATCAGATTTTTGGGCAGAGGAATTCAGCCACCCTTCTTTCCCAAGGAAAGGGGGCTGCTGGAAGCAAGCATGCCTTAATACTCTAAGCCTATGCATACCTTACCTTTACACTCTAAGTCTATGCTTGTAGATAATAATTCCCAAGCCAAGAGAAAAAATAAAAATAAAATAGGTCCTCAAACTCCTATAACTAAGAGCACTATTCAGCCATTCCATTACATAACGCAGTTGAGCAAAAGAAAGAAAAAGAGAGGAGAAAAAGAAAGGAAAAAGAGAGGAAGAGGAGAGGGTTGCTTGGTGGTTACCAATTCAAAACTAGTGTTGAGAATTGTTTGTAAAAACTCTTGAGGTAGGAATACTCAACCTCTATCCTCACTTAGATATGTTTTTTTTTTTTATTATACTAAGGGGTTGTTTGAGATGATCTAAATAAGTACACTTTTTGACTTTTTAAAAATATGGGTTGGGTTTGAAATGATATGGTAAAGAGGTGATGTGATTTAAATAAGATGATATGACTTAAATAAGATAGTGACTTTTTAACTTTTTGACTTTTTTGTGTTATGCCAAACTTAGCCTAAATCTATATATCAAAAATATGCAAGAGTATGCATTGTTAATACACAATAACTCAATGCATGTTAATAGAATAATGATCTTATGATTATATGATTTCTATCCTTCTCGCAAATATAGATTAGAGGGTCTAGTTACTGATTTTTCTTCTTATGTGCTCAAATATTCTCCATTGTTTGAATTAATTTTGCATGCTTATGAATTTGTGTTTACTCTTCATAAATATTATTTTCATCTATTCCCTGTTACCACTAATGAAATGAAGGATTAAAGTTCCATATGGGAATAGTAGCAAGAAATGATTTTTATAGTCTTGCGTATGATTCATGGTGAGTACAAAGTGTGTTTTTCACAAAATAATAAACTTCCAGCAAAACAGATTTTAATCCGTTTTGAATAAACCCAAACAAACTCATGAGAACACTCTCATAAAATCTGAAACTACTGGAGTTAGTTTAACATGTTTTCATGGTGCTAGAATATCGAAAGAAAAATTATTTGACAATGTTTCGTGGTCAAAACATGTTTTAAACTTCATTGTTGTCTGGAGGCAGCAACAATGCTGACTTTACCAGGTCACCGTTTATTCTACAGAATGAGTTTTCAAGTTATTCAAATTGGAAAAGTTAGATTTTTAAGTTACCTTTCAAATGCCGCTGGTTTCATATATATATTTTTTTAATCATTGAGAGAAAAACGTCAATTTTTCCAAAATGCAACAGAATCTGTCTAGTTTTCTTAGAAAAATTATTTGACCATCTTCCATTGGGTTTCAGTCTTCAAACTTTTCTAGAAATATGTTCTAAACTCGAATATCTAGCAAAAAGTTCTGACCATACCTCTTTTTGACACCGTTTGAGGCCCCCTTTTATTTTTCAAACATAGATCACCTGTGTTGGAAATTAATGTAACTCACTGTCCCAGAAAAACCAGTTTTCTCCAAATTTTATTTCTCCATTTTAAAATCATTTTTAGCCCTGGTATTCTTCTCAAAATATTTTCCTGACTCGATGAACTACCACCAGTTAAAATACTATAATGGTTGAACTTCGTTTGGTATGGGTTTCATATTTTTTTTGTCTGACCATACAGTGCTAAAAGAAGAAGTGTGTGAATTCTTTAGAAATTTTGTGATGATTCTTAAGACATTCTATCATATTTATTTTGGTTACCATACATGATTGTGTTGTGCTATATAAACATTATGTCACTGTGGTTTTCAAACTAAAACTCGCGCATGCATCAAAATGTGAATTCGACGAAGTAAAGAAACATGAAATTGAACTGATGATACATTAAAATTTAAAAGTGATAGGGTGAGCCCGGTTTAGAATCTTGTGCAAGTGAGTTGCGAACCCTAACATGGCACGGGAAGGTATTTCGGCTCTTATCGGTGTAGGCGATATAAGGTTGGTGGTGCGGGTGTCACAACATAGACCGTTCCGTTGGGGCAGACCGTGATGTCACAACTCGGGTATGTAACCCTGGTGCCTGGGCATTATTGGTAGTTACAGCAAGTAACATTTGAATATTTGACCAAGGGGGATTCAGAATTGCCCGTGGCCATTGCTTAGCGGTTGAGTGGAAATAGTGCTCCGTGAGGAGTTACTTAAACTTATCTGATAAACTAAATCCATGAGAATTTAAAAATAAAGGTGGGCATTTTCCTTATGATGAAATACTGCTTCCGTTTGCCATTTTTATTTATTTATTTATCTATTGTTATTATTTCAACTGATAGCATTCTTGTTATGCTTATTAAATGTTGCTTGTTATTCTGTTACTACGCATTATTCATTAATTGTGAGTATTATTATCGAGGTGGGTATTTTCAGATTGTAGTATCTTATTGAGATCGTCGCTCATTGGCATTCCCATTGCCCTGGCATTTTATACCAGGTACCGAAGAAACCGAAGGGAACACCGAGGCCTTATTGGGCGACATTCAGTCTTGGTTAACTTGAAGAGTGCCCAAGTTCCATGAACTATTTTCTAAATTTTCTAGTTTTTCTCTAGTTTTCTTTTTTATTTGTGCTATTTTTTTTATGTACTAAGACTAAGTTGTAATTTAAGAACTTTAATTTTCTGGGTTGTTAATTAATAGATGTTAGTAATATTGGTGACAATATTGATTTTAAGTTCTAAATCTTATTATGATGTTCTTAAATTTTGGGGCGTCACATTACTAGTCCAAAGGGATAGTTAATCTCTTCACTCATTTCCTTAACCAAACACTCTTTAGGTGGGTCTCACGGACTATTAGTTTAATCTTCTTTCCTAAAGAGCCAAACAAACATGATTGTTTAAATATTAGAAAATCAATTCTTAATTAATTCGAATTAGAAGAATATTTTGATTTTAATATAAAATTAATTTAAAATAATTATTAAACAAAAAGAAAGATTGAGGTGGAATTGAAGTAGAAAATAGTTTGGCTTTTGAATCACCTCTAATCTCATAACAAGTAATTACTATATTAAATTTCAATAAATCAATGATTCGGATAATAGTGATGTGTCGTGGCTACAAGTCCCGTTATCATCGTCAAGAGGATGAGTAAAATCAAATCGCAGGCACGAATCATTTTCGGTCGGCACAAATTGTATACACTAAACTAGGATTACAGCACAACTCATTTCCCCTAAGCATGACTCATCTCACGATTTGTGTATACAAGCAAGCAAAACAGTTGTAAGATCATGCATTCTTAATCACAAAAATCAAATACATAAATTAGATGAAAATGTTTCTTGAATAAAAGATCTTTAACAATCACACAATGATTATGCAAATCCAAAGAAAAACTAAAATCACAATACATTAATACAAGTTACTTGATTAGGGTTTTATCTCAATTCTCAAGAAGAAGATTAGTTGCCCATGAAGAAGGTGAAGAATGCCATAGGTATGGAGAGCTCCATCCTTGGAACCTTGGATTTTCTCTCTCTTGTCCCTTATGCCTCATTTTGATATCTCTCTAAGAAGACCCTATTTTAAGAAGGCTAAGTCATCCCTTTATATTCCCATGACTATTAGGATTGGAATGGGCTAAAAAACAGTATCAAAATATACTTTTCATCACAAAGGCCCGTATAACCTGCACAACACACAAACTTATTAAAATCATTAAATAATAATTGATATAGATTTAACTAGTGTAGTTTAAGGAACCTCAATGTATGTATTTTGGCACTTATCACTATGGAAGTCTGTTTGGTATTATTTTGGTTTTTGTATT